TTTGAACATTTTCCTTCTCAGAGGAAAATGTCCTGTTTCATAGCACAAAGATAAAAAGGTTGTTGGAAAGTTTAGGTTTAGTTCTTGGAATAGTGGCTGTTGACCTCAGCAATGACCACAGCAGCCCCAGCCAGAATCTGAGGCAGCTGGCTACAGTGAAAGGTATAGGGAGATTCTAGCTATGCAGCGCTCCTTGCTGATCCTGGGCATCTGTCACCCAAGGCAGCCAGTGATTATTTCCACAGTTTTATGACCCTTGGCTATCATCCCAATAACAAATAAGTCATAAGCTACCCTCTTCCCCTTTGTAAAATTCCACTTTGCAATGTGGCCTTTCCACCAAGAACTTCTGAAACAGTTAGGACAGGGACCAATGCCTCTGAAGCTTTGTGTGTAATCAGCTTGTTTCTCCTTTGACCTCCTACTCTCCCTTCCACTGTCAGTAACTTGAGGAATGAGGAGCCAGAGACAGTCAAGGGACAGAAGCTGAAGTAGATGTTAGTTTTGATTAATCTCTTCCAGGGATAGGTAGCTAAAAGCCCAGGACTGCTCTTCTCTGCTTTGCTTCAAGGGTGTCAAACTTTCTGACGTTGTAACAAAATACCATCCACAAATGTGTTGGACTATATTTGTAGGTGTACTAGAACAGATGAGGCCTGTGGGCCACAAGTTGGACTTGTCTGGTTTATAGCATTTATAACTATATGAACATTTAAGAGATACTAACAAATATAGAATAACTACTTTTTTGTGTTGTAGTATTAGGAAGATATTGACATAAAAGCAGGAGAAAAATATGGTTGTATAATAAACCAAAAGAATCATGCCAGGCGATAGTCATGTCAGACATATACAGGCATATTAGTCATAGGACCCATGTCAAGGTTGGAGCCAGCTTTCAAATTAGAAGGAAAGTCTCTGTTGGCTCACAGTAAAGGTGGATTCAGAGTAGTGTTAGGGTTAGAGCAGACCTGCCTTCAGAAAGTCCAAGCACATGTGGCTAGAGCACAGGTAGAGCGTGGCTGTCCAGCCCAGGACAGCATCTGATAGCCTTTGCTTTGGTAATTTTTTTTTTTTCATTTAGAGTGTTTTTTGTCTTGAGTCAGGATCTTGCTGTGTAGCCCAGAATAGTCTCAAATCTCAATTCTCCTGTTTTAGCCTTCCAAGCACTGGCAGCGTAGTCATGTAGCACCATACCTGGTCCTCTCCCTTGCTTTTTAAAAAGTATTTGTCCCTAATTTCTAGTCAAGCCTGCTTCTTTAGATGTGTGTCACTAGTTACAAAGCAGTTACAGGCTTTCTTCAAGTAACAGTTGTCCTCATGCACTGTAAGCTTGGCCTACCATGGGAAGATGCAAAGAAATATAAGACAAAAAATAAAGAAGTGTGAGGTATTATTGTGGTCCTTGCTGCCAGAACCTAGTCTAGTTGTGGAAACATGACTTAAACATGTAAATAATGTAAGAGAGAAACAACTTGCCAAGTGTGCAGGCTCACACCTGTGATCCTAGCACTGGAGAGAGGGAGGCAGGAGAATCATAAGTTCAAGGTCATCGTTGGCTACATAGTTTGAGGCCAGCCTGACATACATGAGACCTTGTCTCAAAAAACTCAGGCTTGGGGTTCTAAACTGGATGGTCTTTAGATTAGTTGAGAGAAGCAATGACGTCATGGCAGAAGGCAAAATGTACTGGAGAATGAATGAAGCAAGTACAGGAGGCATTCTATTTTAGGAAGATGAGTGGGACCAGTTTAGAGTTGAGAATTCTGGAAAATCAGTGGTTGAAGATGAAGCACGCAGGTGGTTGGAAGCAAGATGTATGTTGACTCCTCAGCTTTATCTTATGGACACTAGGGAGACACCAGAAGCTTTTGGACAGAGGAGCAACACTCAGAGCTTTATGTAGTAAGGCAAGTCTGATGGCCAGATACAGGTACATTTAGGTAATTTCAGTGGACCAGGTTCCTGTATTTACTTTAGGGTTACTTTTGAAAAATAATAAGGATTTCAACTATGGGAGTGGCAGAAAGAACAGGAATTAAAAGACTTGGATACAGCTGAGCGTGGTGGTGCACACCCTTAAACCCAGCACTCAGGGAGGCAGAGGCAGGTGGATCACTGTGAGTTTGAAGCCAGCCTGGTCTACAAAGTGAGTTGAGGACAGTCAAGGCTACACAGAGAAACGCTGTCTTGAAAAAAAAAATGTGGTTATTTAAATATTTTAAATTTAAAAAGGACATTTTAAAGGAAGGAGAAATCAATTAAGATTGAGTATCTTTTGCCTGTTGCAATAATGAAGGCTCATCAAGATAAATCCACAGTTTGGGAATCAAGTAACTAGAGAAGCACTTTATTGACAGAAACAGAAGTATTAGAATGGAGAATTAGATAGCTATGTTTTTGGGGAAAGAAAAGGAGTTCAGCTTTGGAAGATCATTGGTGTAGCAGGAGACAGAAATATATTACTGGAACATTTAAGTGGGAACTTGGCCCATGATAAACATGTGGGAGTTGCCTGCATAGACATGACTGCTTAAACTGTCTGAATGAATGATGCCTTCCAGAGGAAACAGAATACTAGAAGCACCAGCATTTTAAAGGAGGAAGAAGAGGAGCTGCCTTAACCCCGTGTAATTAGCCATGGGGAGGAGGAAGGCAGTTGCAGATTCACATTGATTCAGATAAGAGTATCAAGAAGGAAGTGGTGGTCACCAGTATCAGATGTTACAGAGAGGTTAAGGAGAATAGGGGCTGAAAGAGCCATTGGATTAGGCAGTTAGGAGGTTATTTACCTTAAGAACACAGATCTATGGTATCTGTCTATGATGGAGGAGAAGGATTAAGAGTGAGCATTGAAGCATTGATTTACAGGTAAGAAGGAAAGAATGAAGAGGGGGCCATGATTGTTACTCTTCCTGTCTTGCAAGTTGGGAGTTTGTGCATGCACACACACTTGAAGGGAGAAGGGAAAGGTTAGATCAGTGATTCATTTGGTCAACCTTATTCAGTACCAGCAAAAGACTTTGGCCCAATAAGCAGAGAGAATCAATAGCTTCAAGAAAAAAAAAAAGAAAAGAAAAAGAAAGAAAGAGTGGCAGAAACAGGAGTCTAGAGAAATATGGGAGAATATGGATTAGGGAACTAGCAGAACGTGAGAGTGGCCTTGGATTCTGGGCAAAATAGAAGGTAGAGATGCACTGAAGAGAGGTAGAATTGGGAGACAAGTGACAGAGTTAAGGAGACATTAAGCAACCACTCTAGATAATGTTTGAGTGAGAGAGGAGCTGAAGCTAGACGGTTAAGTATTAGTGAAGCTTTACCATCTCTCTACTTCCTAAGTGCTTTTGTAAGAAATGGTGATGGGCTGGGGAGCCTCTCTCTCTCTCTCTCTCTCTCTCTCTGTCTCTCTCTCTCTCACACACACACAATGGTTATCAGAGGCATCTTAGAAGGTAATTGGTGTTTGTTTCTTCTTGTACTTTTAAGAACTTTGCCTTTCTTGTCATTGTAGTTTTTCCTCTCTCTCCCTCTCCATGTATATATCACATTAAAAAATATACAGCTACTTCAGAAAAGTCTTTAATAATTTCAAGATTACGTTGCAGATATGTCAGTATGAAATCATAGTTCTTTTTCCTGTTCTTGCACTCTGTGTGTGTGTGTGTGTTTGTGTTTACAGACTTTAGGTTGACATCTGTGCCTCCTTTAATAACTTTCCATCTTATTTTTTGAGCTGGAATCTGAAGCTCAGCAATTAGGCTAGACTGGGTGGCCAATAAACCCCAAGAATCTGCCCATCTCTGCCTACTAGGGCTGGGTGCACAAAGCCGCGACCACCTTTGTATGTGGACGCTGGAAATCATGTTCAGTTTTTATGCTTACATGGTGAGCAATTTTATCTAGACAGAGTCATCTCCCCAGCACCTGAAATCTTAGGACTTTTGCAAGAAATTTATTACTGCACAGATCGACAAAATAAGTGAGCAAGGATCCCATGCATGGTGCAACTCAGCCCTATTGAAAGGCTACATGTGTTAAGCCAGCTAAACAAAAAATCATCCATCTACTCAGCCCTGTAGACTTCAGGATGACTAGGATACCAGATGGTAGGAGTATGTTTCATTCAGAACATAGAAGATCATGAAAGGCCCCTGTGAGAGGCCTCTGCAAGAACATGTTTCTTAAGAGTAGTGAACCTGGTTATTACAATCTTTTGACAGGGCTATGCTGACTACATGGAGGGGCTAAGTATGTAACACTGCTTGGGCTACTTGATACAAGCTTTAGATTTAGCAAGATGGAGAATTGTTCTGTAACAAGTATAATTAAAAGAAATAAATTGTAACAAAGTCATAATTCTGTATCTGATTCTTGACTATTCCTGACTTTGTTTTACGAGTCTCCTTTCCTCCTAGGGTTGGTAGGTATAATGGCAAAATAGGGGAACCATTGGTCTCACAAACAAGGACACTAGAATGTGCTTCTGGGTGGAATTGATTTTTTTTTTCAGGCTGCCGCATTTTTAAATCATTATACGTATGTGTGTGTGTGTGTGTGTGTGTGTGTGTGTGTGTGTGTGTGTGTGCATGTGTGTGCACACATGCAGACCAAGAAATGTGGGGAAGCTAAAGGGCAGTCCTAGGTGTTCTGTTAGTCCTTACCTCCTGCCTTGTTTGAGAGGTGGTCTCTTGTTTATTGCTGCATGTGCCAGACTAGCTCGCCCATAAGCTTCTAGAAATTGTCCTGTCTCTGTCACCTATCTTGCTGTGGGAGCTTTGGGAATGTAGTTGCATGTAACCAAGCCCAGCTTACATGGGTTCTGGGAATCTGAACTCAAGTGTTCACACTTATGCTGTAATGCTTTACCCATTGATCCATCTCCCCAGTCCTCAAGCTTCTTTTGAAGTGGAAAAGCAATCTGATCAGAGCCTAAATGAATTGATTATTGATTTATGGAGGAGTAACTCAAGTATTTATTTTCTCCTTTTCTTTCTTTATAGGTATGGCCTCACATGTGCAAGTTTTCTCCCCTCACACCCTTCAATCAAGTGCCTTCTGTAGTGTGAAGAAGCTGAAAGTAGAGCCAAGTTCCAACTGGGACATGACTGGGTACGGCTCCCACAGCAAAGTGTACAGCCAGAGCAAGAACATACCACCTTCTCAGCCAGCCTCCACAACCGTCAGCACCTCCTTGCCAATCCCAAACCCAAGCCTACCTTACGAGCAGACCATCATCTTCCCAGGAAGTACTGGACACATAGTTGTAACATCAGCAAGTAGCACTTCTGTCACCGGGCAAGTCCTCGGCGGACCACATAACCTAATGCGTCGAAGCACTGTGAGCCTCCTTGACACCTACCAAAAATGTGGACTCAAGCGCAAGAGTGAGGAGATTGAAAACACTAGCAGTGTGCAGATCATTGAAGAGCATCCACCCATGATTCAGAATAATGCCAGCGGGGCCACTGTCGCCACTGCCACCACATCCACTGCCACCTCCAAAAACAGTGGCTCCAACAGTGAAGGTGACTATCAGCTGGTACAGCATGAAGTGCTGTGCTCCATGACCAACACCTACGAGGTTTTAGAGTTCTTGGGACGAGGGACATTTGGGCAAGTGGTCAAATGCTGGAAACGGGGCACCAATGAAATTGTGGCCATTAAGATCCTAAAGAACCACCCATCCTATGCTCGGCAAGGTCAGATTGAAGTGAGCATCCTGGCCCGGCTAAGCACAGAGAGCGCTGATGACTACAATTTTGTGCGGGCCTATGAGTGCTTCCAACACAAGAATCACACATGTTTAGTCTTTGAGATGTTGGAGCAGAACCTCTATGACTTTTTAAAACAGAACAAGTTTAGCCCCTTGCCCCTCAAATATATTCGCCCGGTCCTTCAGCAGGTAGCCACAGCCCTGATGAAACTCAAAAGCCTGGGTCTTATCCATGCTGACCTCAAACCAGAAAACATCATGCTGGTGGATCCATCCAGACAACCATACCGAGTAAAGGTCATTGACTTTGGTTCAGCTAGTCACGTGTCCAAAGCTGTCTGTTCTACCTACTTGCAATCCAGATACTACAGGTAAGACTGTTTACATGGAGATAGTCAAAGCATACAGAAGGCCCAGTGGCATCCACAGGGAATGTGCACAGAGAGTCACCATAGAGGAGATAAAAACGTTTGACAGTGGTTGTTACCAAAAAGAGACCTTAGTATGGGGGCTGGAGAGATGGCTCGGTGGTTAAGAGCACTTGCTGCTCTCACAGAGGACTTCAGATCAGTTCCCAGCATCCACATGGCAGCTCATAACTTGAGTAAATCTAGTTCCAGGAGGTCTGTCTCCCTCTTACAGCCTCCAGACACACACATGGTATAGACACGTGCATTCAGGCGAATGCTCATCTGCATAAAACTAAATAGTCTTTTTAAAAACAAAAAGAGAGACCTTAATGTGGTTGAAAAATTAGAATACATGCAGACTGGAATGACAGTGAGAAGCTATCAAGAAGGCATCTGAGAAACATTCTTGGTCCAGACATTGAGAGTTGGTAAGGATTTTTGGGAGCTGGGTGAAAAGCAGAGTGGAGAAGTCAAGTCCTTCTGGATGGAGAGGATCCAGACGGCTAGAACAGGAAGGTTTGTGCTATTAGACATAGAGTAGCAAAATGAAAGACTTGTTTAGGAGATGAGAATGACCTGCTGGGCCAGATCAGAGGATTTGTGAATAGTTCCTGGAATAAGTCCTGGAAATTTTGAACAAGCAGGGGTTGGTTGGGAGGTGCTATTGGGGGAGGATGTAATAGGTTGATAGCAGTTTTCTTAGAAGACTGCTATTATATTCATGTAAAAGAGGCTGGAGGAAGGGAAGATCTTTGTGCTAGGGCCAGTTGCTTCTCCTGTGGTAAGTTTATGTCAGGAAACATTATCTATTCCCCCACCCTTTTTTTTAATTATAAGGAAATACCCAAGGCAGGATAATTTTGAAAAGAAAAGAGGTTTATTTAGCTCACAGTTCTGAACATTCAAGGTCACAATGCTATTGTCAGCCTTATGATAGATGGCCCCACAATGGTGGGAGGATACATAGGAATAAGAGATCACATGGCTAGACAGGAATATATATAATGGTTCAAAGTTAGAGTCAAGCTATTAAGACACTTTTATTGACGAGAACTAACTAATTAAGGTTTCTAACCTTAATTCCTTCCAAAGACAGTGCTGATAATGAGCTTGCACTAGACCTTATGACCTCTCAACATCACTACGTTGAGGACCACTCTTTGAACTCATGACCTTACAGGGTCAAAGCACATTCACACTCTAGCAAGAAAACTTCATTCAGACATCAAAAGTTTGTAATCTCATTTCTAATATGGGCCTTGCACAATATTAAGCTCCAAGAATATAAACAAGGCCTTGGCCATCCCAGAGTTTCCAGCACACTGCAGGCTTTGACATTAGTAAAATCCAGAACTGGACTGATCCCTATACTCACTAGGCTGACTGTTTTGTGCTGACTGCCTAACTTTATATACTCCCATTTCCTGACCTATGAGCTAGAAGCTGGGTTGTTATACCAGTAACAGGGTGCTGTTGGACCATCACAGGCTGTGATGGAATCTAGTGCTATGTGTAATGTCCAGCCTATGGGAGACATAGTATCAGGAGGCAGTAGAGACAGAAAGCAAGGTTCAGGGTTATAGAATGGCAAAGCTCTCTGCTGAAGTAGTAGTGATCAGTCCCATAGAATTGAAAATGGCAAGAAAAGAAACTCCCATGGGAAAGTAAGCAGAGCCACATCCAAGAGATTAGTTTGTGGCAGTAATAGGACTATCCCAGCACTTCTTGCTGCATGGAAACTTCTGTCCCACACCTTTATTTGGATGTGTCTTCTCATATCTTCTTGAAGGCTCCAGAGGAAAGACTGGGCAGACTTGCGCTGTGTTAACACAGCTGACCTATGACCTGTTCTGAAGCGACCACTAGTCCCTGTCTCCTTGGCCTCCCTTATCTCAGCTTGCTTCTCTCACTGTGCCTAGTCACTCCTTACAGCGCTATTGCATGTCTCTATGTTGTCTGTTCTCTCTCACCCTCAACCCTCAGTCAGACCCTCCTATCTGCCTTGTGTTTTGATATGATTCAAAGGATGGCTCTCAAGGCTTCTCCATTCCTCTTAAGAAGGATTCCTGAGTTGTAGGAGCCCTTGCTTAGCTCTAGAATCTGATATGGAAAAGTGTTGGCTTTCTCCCTACACTTAGATATACACACTGCCCTCTGCTCTTAAGAGGAGTTCTCGTAAGCTTCTGCATACTCATGAGGCTAGATCTACCCCTGTGGGCTCTCCTCCACTAGGCTGGAGGGGAGCCATGTGCCCACTGTTGGAGCCATCCAGGAAGATAGAGCCTGGACAGTGGGAAAGTATACCCCTCCTTGAGGTAAAGAGGAAGACTGACAATCCATATTCTCTGGAGAGTGCCTGGCCCTTCCTTGAAAGCCAACTCTCTCTGGCTCATCACAGGGAAACAGCTTGCCCCAGAGGTGGCTGTTGCTGGGGCTTCTTCTCTATTTACTGCAAAATGGAGGCTTTGCTGTCACTTTATTTTTAGACTTAGAAATTCAGGATGCCAGAAACTGTTTCTTGCCAGTTCTTGGCCTGAATTTAGGGCAAACCATGCCAAGTCAAGGGCTGTGTGAGATTTTATTATTTAGTTAACCTGTATTGCTCTTAGTGAACAGAATCCAGCTTCATTGAAGTTTGCTAAAAATTAGGCACAAAGGCTTGTAAAAAGACTTACAACTGTACTTAATAATCAGTGCATCCTTGTAGCAAAACTTGACTCAACAAGTTAGATTTGGGATTCTGAAGCCTCTTTTGTATTCTTGCCCTTTGTGGCCCTGACACTCTGTCCACTGTCTGCCCCTCCTGCCAAGGACTCTGCAGTCTTACTTTGCTTTCAGGGACCCTAGCTGAGGAAGGCTATGAATGGCAGTGACATTTCCATGGCAACTGGGGCAGGTCTGAGCCTTCTTGGACTTGATGTCCATTCTCTTTATGGCCCAGTCATCCATGTGAGCATCTCATGGGGTGGCAAGGCTTGTTTGCTGCTCCCACCTGTCATTCCTCAACAGGCACAGTCACCTCTACTTCCATCTGAGACACCTTTTGGGTGTCATGGTACCCCTTTCTTTAGGCTTTACGTGACCACTAACCTAAAATTCTAGGCAGAATGGTTTCCCTCTCTCCAGGGTCTCCATGGTCTTGGGTCCTCAAGGCCAGCTAAGCAGCCTTTGACTATGGTCAAGGGCACAGAATCCTGGAATGACACTTCATTTTCAAATTAATCATAATTCTAGGCCTACAGCAGGCCTCATCTGAGCTGTGGGTTGGTCAGTCTGCTGCCACATAGGTCAGTGGGAGCTTATGAGAGCAACATTCAACTTCAACCCTGTTTATTCTAGCTGTGCAGGACAGTCAGTCTAGACCAAACTGTTCTAGTTGATTTTCCTGGCTACTTCACTGTTTACTTGGGACAAGGGGACAAGAGAAGCTCTTTGACTGTCTATCATTAAGATCCTTGTCCTAACACATCAGTAGGTGGCAGAGAGGAGAGAAGCTGTGTCTATGCTCAGTGTTCTGACCTGTGAACATCTCAGTGATTAGTAGCCTGACATTCCCTGAAGAAAGGAGCCTGCAACAGCCACCAGGGGGCCGGGATAGAGAAATGACCACCAGTCAGGCACCACACAGGCCCCAATGGCTCCCAGGACCTGGGAGCAAGCCAGAGACTAGAAGAACCTTGCCTGGGACTGAGGGTCCTAGGCAGAAGTAAGCCCAAGACAGAGGACCCTTGCATGGGGTCACTCAGGCAGGCCAGGCTAGGAACAAGCCTGAGATGACCACCAGACCAGCATGGAGCCTGGACAGGGAGCAAGCCTGAGATGACCACCAGTCTGGTGACATGCAGGCATATGGGCAGACTATGCCTGAGATGATCCCTTCCTGGCACTATAATGCATGAGCAGGGCATAGTGCTCCTGAGACCGCTCCCGAGATGACTCCAGACACTCAAAGACCCTGGGTACCACTAAGAGGAGCAAGTAAGTAGGGGAGAAATGGAAGAGAAAGAGAAACAGAAGAATGGGCACGATGAAGAGAGGCAGAACTGGACTACCAAAAGCCCTGGTCTCGGCTACTACCCAGGGACTTGCTGATGTCTAAAGGCTGTGCGGAACTGGCCCCACCCCTCACCTGGACCTTGAAGGAGAGCTAGCCCTGGAGGCATAAAAGCGGGAGAGCTGACTCCTCTCCTAGCTAGCTGCTGTACTCAGGAGAGTGGGCCCTGAACATTGTGCAAGTTGCAGGTGAGCTATCACCAAGGATACAAGGATGGGAGATCTGGCCCTACCACTCACCTCTCCCATGTGTGGTGGCATGGACAAAGGAGAGATACCCTCCTCCCCTCTTGCCCACCACCACCTGCAGCAGATGGAAGACCTGGCCCTAGAGAACAGGAGAGCTGTCCCTGCCCATCACCAGCTGCAGCGCTCTGAAGAGCAGGCCCTGTACCTCACCTGGGTAACACAGTAGACTGGTCCTGGATGTGGGGAGTGTGGGAGAGCCAGCTCTGCCCCTTGACTGCTGGGTGATGGCCCAGCCCTCCCTCTGTGGCAGGCAGGAGAGCTGGCCTTGGGGTCATGAGAGTGGGAGAACTGGCTATGTCCCTCACTTGGGAAAGTATACCCAGTACATCACCTAATTGGCAGGTAGAGCTGGCCCTTGTGGTGGGGGTTGATGGTAAGCTGGCCCCGAGGGCTGGAGAGCAGGAGAGCCAGCTCAGGTCCAGATCCAGGGCTTTGAATGGGCCCACCCCCAACAACTGCCCCATCAATGAACTGCTGGAGTGCATGAAGGTGCCAGCCCTACAGATCTCCACGACACAGGGCAGCAAGAGGACATCCGAGAGGGTTCCCAGTGAGGTTCCAGTATTGATGGAGTAGCAGAAGCCAGAGGCCCCATACCAGATCAAGGAGTCACTGCAATGAACATTTGCAAGCAAAACAGTATGGAAAAAGGCTATAAC